GCCTCCCCCCCCCCCGGTAAATATCGTACAGTCCCTAGATATCACTTTGGTCACCTCTGTTTAGGATGAGGTAGTGTAAATTTATATTATTTGGTACAGTACCGGTACTCAGTAATTCAGTATTTTGGACCAGTACCTAATTGACTTTCATGGTACTGTGTCAGTACACAGTACCAGTATGTAGCCCTGGTCAGTGATGCATATACAGTTGTTGCATGTACATGTGTTTGTACTCTGGTGTTTCTACAAGTTTGTATCTCCCCATGTACAGACAATGTAGTGAGTGTACACGACATCACCACCTTCCAATGTATCACCACCATCCAGAAGACCAGAGGAGCCACTCTATTCTCTACAGATCTACAGGTACTGCATGTAGTAGATTTTTCTGTAACAATTAAAATCATGTTAAACAGGTATGTTTGAAGGGAAATTGTGAATTTATTGTCTTACTCATTATTGTGAAGTTGTCATTGTTTCTATGCATACATGTACACATGTAACTTACATGTATGTCCGTCACTTCTCCCAATTCTGTGTTGAGACCATTTTGACCTTCCTGTCAGTCTGCAGTTGCATCCCTCGTTACTCTACTATATTGAAATAACTACAGACACACACACAAGCAAACAAACAAACACAAAACGAAGGTCAACACAGTAAAAACAAAAACATAGTTTTGTCACCATGCTATTTGTGTAGGAAGACAACTTGTCTAAGAAAAAACACTTTTCCTTGATACCCTGGGTAGTCGTCTTAGACAAATTTGATTGTAAATTTATTTATTTATGTACAAATATAGCAACACAAGTCCCTGAGTGGAGACTTGTCACATACATTGAGGATGGCGGTCGCTGTGAAAAGGAAAATACAGAACTACTACTGGAAGAACAGGGACTTTCACGAGCTTACAGTAAGTACAACTATTTTGACTGAACCCTTCCACTTTATTCATTTACAAAATGTATCTGTCATCAAAGTCAAATGACCACTACGTCTAAATAGGGTCGTGTGGTACAACGGTAGCGTGCGTGACTCGGAATCAAGAGGTCCCGGGTTCAAGTCCTGACATGCCACCAATCTTGTGCCCTTAGGAAAGGCACTTAACACGACTTTCCCCACTAGACTCAAGTGAAAATGAGTATTGTCTGTCCAGTATTCGTTTCTATGTGCGGGACACAACACCAGCAACAGCTGCCTCTGTTCCGTGTGTATTGCACTGTTGCAATTTCAATAAATCAAATCAAATCAAATAGGGATCAAAATTCATATTTGGGAATAGATGCACCTAACCTCTAACCAAAAAATTTAGGTGTATTTGTGTGCACAATATAATAGTAGAATATCAGCAAACTTTGAAGAGACAAGAAAGAGTGCTCCAGTTTCAAGAGTTGTTGGGAGTTGGTACAGTTAAGGCATTTGATGCCGACATGCACAGAACCAAAAAACCTGCTAACAAAGCTACTCTCCAAGCAAAGGTTTGGGTTTTGGGTTATTTTTGGCGTGTTTTTAGACTTTTTTATTCTTGATATTGGGGTTTCTTTTTTACACTGGAATTTTTCTTTTACCCAGGGGTTGGGTTGGGTGAAAGAAAAATTCCAGTGCAAAAAAGAAACCCCGAATAAGTCTAAAAACACACCAAAAATAACCCAAAACCCAAACCTCTGCTTTGAGAGTAAACAAAGCTACAAGCCTTGACAGTCAAATTGTAATGAACCTAAATTCTATAAACCTGAACATTCTTAACAACAGATACAATAAAGGTTCTACTAGTATTTTTTTGACACGTAAATGTGGAGAGAAGCCTGTGCCATGTATACGGTAAAGTTTTGCAACCATAACCCTACACAAATATCTTACACAAATACTGGTGCAGCCACAGTCAAATATTAGGCGCACAGCTGAAACTTTGGGTGCAGAAAAGTACATAATGCTAGTACTGTATTTTCATCCCTTCAAAAGGATGAAAAGGATGACTATAATTAATGTTAAGTCATAAAAATTTGTTTATAATTATGAAGATCAGATGAGGATTCCAGTTTGAATGTGGCTTATTGTGAATTTTAACCTTTAGGCCACACCAATTTAATTTGTTGGTTCTTGGATTTTTTCATAAAAAATATGAAGCGACAGGGCGGAAAAAAACCAGGTCTAGGCATCTTATTATAGACCCAAATACGATAGGAGCCATGAAATCAACATAAAAGGCTGGGTTACAAAATGTAATATTTAAACATTGAATTTTGAACTTTTATTTAAACCACTGCATTGATAGATGGAAAAACAGTAGCAACTAGGAAGAAAACGACTTTCCTCAACTGTTGGGGGCAAAATATGAGTATTTTTGAGTTGATTCAGAATCAGAATCTTTTTTTTTTTTTGCAAATCAGATAAAAATGAAGAGACAAATCCGAGAACCAACAAATTAAATTGTTGTGGCCTTACCATACTACAGAGGACTGTATGGTGTGCTACTCTGTTCTCTCGGCATGCTGATCATGAAGGTTAATGACATGTTGTGTTATGTTACAGCCTGACATGGCAGTGCCTGATGTAGCCAAGTCCATGGCCTGGTGTAAGGACTCGGTCTGTGTGGGCTTCAAAAGGGACTACTTCCTCATTAAGGTAAGGCCACAGTAAGGCAATGTTAGGGATTACATCCACAAATTGATTTTCACCTGATTTTAGTGGCAAAAAACCTGACATGGTTCTGATGAACGTTTAACTGGCACCTAACAAGACAGATTTTAACCTAAAAGAGAAAAGTACCTTTGATACTATACAGTATAACATAGTAGTCTTGTACACTGCAAGAGTATTGTTTTTTTTGGCGACACCTCGGAGGCGGAGCCATGTAACATCTGTGTGTCTTATTGATCTGGTACTGATTACAGGTGGATGGTAGTGGGACACTGAATGAACTGTTTTCCACTGGAAAAAAGACACAAATCTATCATTTCCAACCGTAAACCTTTGATACTATACAACATTTTAGTAGTCTTGTACACTGCAAGAGTATTGTTTTTTTGGCGACACCTCGGAGGCAGAGCCATGTAACACCTGTGTGTCTGGTACTGATTACAGTTGGATGGTAGTGGGACACTGAAGGAACAGTTTCCCACTGGAAAAAAGACACAAATCTATCATTTCCAACCATAAACCTTTGATACTATACAACATTTTAGTAGTCTTGTACACTGCAAGAGTATTGTTTTTTTTGGCGACACCTCGGAGGTGGAGCCATGTAACACCTGTGTGTCTGGTACTGATTACAGGTGGATGGTAGTGGGACACTGAAGGAACTGTTTCCCACTGGAAAACAGCTGGAACCGCTGGTGACCAGGCTGTCAGAGGACCGGCTGGCGCTGGGCCGGGATGACATGACCATCTTCATCGACTCGGAGGGTCAGCCCACGCAGAAGTACGCCCTGACATGGTCCGACATCCCCGTCATTTTAGGTAGGACACACTTGTAAGGGTCACATGAAATGTATCATTCCTAGGCCATTTGATTTGTTGTTTCTCGGGTTCACCCTGTCCATTTTTTCCTGATTTGCAAAAAAATATATATATTTTACTTAGGTTCTGATTCAACTGAAAAATGCTCAACAAAAGTTTTGGCCCCAACAGTTGAAGAAAGTCCTTTTCTTCCTAGTTATTTCACTCCATACTTCAGTATGGAGTGAAATACTGTTTTTACTGATGATTCTTCTTCTCCTTTTCCTCCTGCCACATCTTTAAATTGATTCAACTCCTTCATTTTTGGGCGAAATGACCTGGAATTTCGTATAGAGGTAGAGTGGGTAAATACCCCTAGGTTTTTTTTAAATTTTTTTGATACAAGCTTTTACAATCGTTTTATTTGCTTTTTTAGCGGTCCCCATAGGAAAGTACTGTGGGGGCGTACGCGCGTGACGTAATAAGAAAGGAATTCGGCGGTATGCCCATATATGGGCATGCAAGCATGAACCTGACGCAGACCAATCTATTCTTCTTGCTGATTGGCTGTTGGATTTGATTGGATTAACTCAATTAACACCTGTTCAAAGCCATTCCATTTTGACAGTATGAACTCAAGTGTTTTGGTAGGTACAGCACAGGCCACGAAATACGCATCGATTTTCGAGGGACGTTCTGCGGGAGAGTGCAGGACGCTGTGCGGGACTTCCCTCGGGAGAGTGCGGGACGTCCTCCGGGAGAGTGCGATACGTTCTGCGGGAGAGTGCGGTACGTCCAGCGGGAGAGTGCGGTACGTTCTGCGGGAGCCAGACATTTTGCTCTTCTCTGTTGGAACAACGCAAGTTGGAGGTCAATGACCTGCGCCCGGCGTGTAAACAAAAAAGTTACGCGGTACGTAATGTGTATCGTCGGCGCGCGCGCCACGGTATCAACAATTTTCCGCAATCTTTACCAACTAGTATTATCTAGGTTCTGTTATCGATCTCCGAAGAATCACCAAAATTGTAGAGTGTACAGGCGTTCGTTTGTTGTTGCTGAGAACATCGCGAGACGGCTTCCTGGCGAGCGTCGAGGGCTTGCATGCCCGACAGTTTTCGAAGATTGGACAGGGAGCGGCTGTAATATTAAAGGAGCCGGCGGCTTCTGCTAGCCGGGTTGATAGTTAAGTAACATCAAGGTGGTTCATAAGCAAACCTGATAAAGAAGGAAACCCCGTAGTTAATAGTTGAAAGTCTTGGTGCCTTGAAGCGATCGATACCGCCATGCTGTTTACTTTTTATGACATACAATGCAGTGAGTGATGTGTATCGCACCGAGTTAGCTCGGTTGGAAACGCGCAAGGCGGCAATCCCAGGCATTGCAAGTTCGAACCCCAGTGCATCGGACATTATTATTTTTAACAATTTAACATTTGTAACAATTTTATCATTTTTAACAATTTTATCAGTTTTAACAATTTTAACAATCCTGCATTTTAACAATTTCAACATTTTTTTTATTTTCGTTGTTTTGCTTTTAACATTCAAAAACTGATTGTTCTTACTCAAGAATGTCAATAACTTAGAATGTTAGTCTTTTGTATTTTTCCAACATACAAACCAAAATCACTTTGATGTTGTCACAAAAGTATGGAGCTGACAAGAGAGAAGGAGTACGGTACTCTGCCAGTGTGAAGAATCTACAGAGGTATTACCAGTCACTAGTAGCAAGAGATAGACCACATTGAATGATGACGATGAGGACGAATCATATGAAGTACTATCATAGCTTTGTACAGAAATTCTACTGCTTTACTTTACTTTCTTTCACTCTGTACATGCAATTAGCTCACTGGCATGATTTTAAAATAAAGGTTATGATAATCATATTATATGTATAGCTTATTCAATGTATGGCTTTATAGTTTATGTGATTGTTAATAAGGCCATGTTGATTTGATTGTATGGATGGCATCTGTGCGCGCATCGGTTTTCGTTAATTTAAAGCTAAGTTTACGACAATGATACAAAACATCTGGAAACTAAGCAAATATACTCTGTAAATTGATTACTGTAATTCCCAATTTTTTTCACTGAACCGCAACGTAACGCAAGCGGGAGGTCTATGTTCACGGTTTCACTGTCACCTCTGTACCGTGAACTTATCATTACAGTTAGGAAATAATTCCTGGACTTTCTTTTTCCTGCAACTGTCACCACGTGAATATATAGTTCCGTGAACATGTCCATGTTTCTCAGACCGTGAAAATTTTGCTACCGTTAGTAGTAGTTGCAATTTCGTCATTAGTAGTATTTAGATACCTGCAATATATAACTTTGAGATTGAGATAAGTGTAAAGTAAAGCTGTCGAGATTTAACGTGCTTGTCGTTGTATCTTTGTAAAAAATAAGGGAGATAATGGCCAAGTGCCATTTTTATAAATATCTGTCGAGATTCAAAAAGCTTGTCCTTGTATAATTGCAGTATGATTTATTCAGAATCTTCTATTTTTGTATGGGGAGGGAGATGGAGTGAAATATCACATTTGCTCCGAAGCAAATGTTGGCCTTTCTAGTTGTTAAAAGTTTTTCAATGTGACAGTGCAACTTTTTTTCATTAAAAGTTCAAAATCTATTGTTTTAATTATAAACCAGCCTGGTATGTTGACTTCATGGCTCATATCTTAACATTTCCGGCCTTCATGGGGTGCCCTGGCCTGTTTTTTTTTTTGCCCTACCGCATCATGTTTTTTCTGAAAAAATCCAAGAAACAACAAATTGAATTGCATGGCCCTAGGGTGACTTTCAAAATGAACAAGAAATCAGAAATTTCAGACTTTGAATTGAAGACTAGTCTGTTGAAGACCGACTCCTGCCCACCCCTGTGTCAGGGACCCCAGGGTTCTGGACATTACTACCAAGAACTTCCAGGAAGTATTTTTGGTTTTGTTACCTCTGGGAAGTGTTTTAGCTTTTTGTGGGTGTATTGGAACTGTGGAGGAGATTGTATGAAGTCATTTAATTGGGTATCACACCACTTAACTGAATTCTTCCATATACATTGTACTGCCCACTTATTCCCACTCATCTGTGCCACCTTCAGGTTTGACCTTTCTGTCAATCATCTGTCAAAATCACCTCCCACCCACCATGCAACCGAAGCTATTAGGACAAATTCACAACTCAAAGGAATACCTCACTCACTCGCTCGCTCGCTCGCTCACTCGCTCACTCACTCACTCACTCACTCACTCACTCACTCACTCACTCACTCACTCACTCACTCACTCACTCACTCACTCACTCACTCACTCACTCACTATCCAGGTTTTGATTATACTGCTGCTGGTGTCCCTGCCACAGGTAGGCAGCAGTCTTACCATACCTATCCAGTGGGATAGGTATGGTACCTTTACACTGGCAAGGCCGCACTCTCTGATGTTCTACTTGATAGGCTCCAACCTCTGTACCCGGAGTTTAAGAGCTACATTGTACTAGTGGATACTAGCTGAAACGTCTGACCATTTCCAAAATCATATCCAGTTGCTTGGGAAACTGCTTTTTGGTGTATCGCATTACCTGGATGTCTAACCTTCATCGACGTAACTACATTGTACGTGCATCATTTTATGTCAATCTTTTAAAAAAGTGCCTTTTTTTGTTCTTACAGATCATGAGCCACCCTACATCATTGCAGTACTTCCCAGGTCAGTCTTATCTGCAGAACTACAAACTTACAAAATCACCTTTAAGAGTACATTAGCTTTGACCTTTATGCACATGAAAATCATACTTTTATTGCAGTTATTTGTACCAAAGTGCTGTAATATGACTTTAAAGATGATTATATTTGGGGCAATAAAATATGACGACGTCATCCGTATGGTCCATAACATCATATTCATAACCCTTTCGTACCCAGATATCAAATTGAATATTCAGTACAAGTACAGTTCTTTCTAAATTTCTTTGTGACAAAACGATGGAAAGTTAAAATGCCAAATTAGCCAGTGAGGAAACCTTAAAGCTACTATAACAGTGTGTTGTCATCCTTCTCTCAGACACATAGAAGTACGAACTGTTGAGCCCAGACTCCTGGTGCAGACCATGGAGTTACCCAGCAGGCCCAGGTTCATCTGCAGTGGAAGGTTGGTCAGATTAGGCCATACTGATTTAATTCTATGGATGACATCCGCGTGTGCATTCATTTTCACCTGTTCGAGGGTCTGACCTGAGTGCCATCCTCCATAGTCCATGGTAGCGGTAGCAGTAGCTAGCAAAAATAGGATGGTGTCCAGGCTGCCAGCTGTCCACAGAACTCAAAAACTCATCACAGTGCCGACTCATAAATGCTGCAAAAGGCCAGCATATGCTAGCTTATCATAAAAGACGCTGTGTACTACCGCAAATTCACCATACCAGCTGTGTATTCCTGTGGTTTAGCAGTTTTCATTTTTTTGGGCTGAATTTTTTTTATTCAGCTAGCCTGTGCTCACTAGTTTGGGGGTCTACAGGGGATGTCATCCATAGAATTAAGTCAGTGTGGCCTTACCTTGCCTGTAGCTAGTATTAGTCACACATATGACGTACTATCCCCATGCCATTGCAAACTTGGGGCATTCGTGGGATAGTTGTGCATGTGTTATACAATATTCTAAGGCTGTCTAAGGCCACACCAATTTAACCAATTGGTTCTCGGATTCACCTCTTCATGTTGAATAAAAAAAATTTAGCTAGGTTCTGAATCATCTCAAAAATGCTGATAGCTTTCCCCCAACAGTTGACCAAAGTCCTCGTCTTCCTAGTTGTTAAAGTTTCTATCTATCAATGCAGTGGTCTCATTAAAAGTTCAAAATTCATTGAATTATATATATTAAGTATGTTGACTCCATGGCTATCACGGGGTGTCAACAAATTAAATAGGTGTAGTCTAACTCTAAGTAACCAAACAAGGTGTCTTATATCCTTGTTGGCAGTTGTTTCTGTCACAGCCTTCTAAAACATCAAAGTTGTACAATGGCCTATGACTAGTGCTGCATACCTAAACCCACATTTAGGTTCAGGTCCGGATTCAAGTCCAGAGGTTTAGGTTCAGTACTAAACCTAAACCTCTGGACCTAAACCCATGGCATAACAAAATTGCATGTTGGCAACCTTGCAATGTTGTCTGGGTGAAACTTTGGCCACATAACATGGAGGCCGACACTTTACGATGCCCGATGGCAATGTTTTCTTCATTTTGCTGCAAAGTTTTTGCAATCTACGGATTCCAAAGGTTTTAGGTGGTTTGGAAAGAAAAGGGGTATGTGAAATGGTCTTTTATGGTAATAAGTCTGGACTCGGCTCTTGACTTTTAGGTTTTTATTGATGTATATCCCTGCTGCCTAACCCCGTAACCAGCAGAGAATTTGTAGCCAAATGGCTACTTCAGTGTGGTAAAGCTTAAAAATACAGTGTACTTCATTTGCAATGTATTCTATACTCATTAGTATAGTATGTTACTCAAGAAGGCATTGCCATCTTACACCACTTAGCCTTCAAGAACTTGTTTTCTTTAGCTTTATTTGGCCTTTTAAGCTGTCTGCGACCTTTCTGTGGTCATACAATACCCCCAGTCATGTCTCTTTGTTTTTCACGTGAGGCCAGACCAATTTGATTTGTTGGCTCTTAGATTTTTGTAGGAAATCAATGAACTGGGTAGGTGGATACAAAAAAACAGGCGAATACGGTAGGCATTCTGTGATAGCCCCAAATGCTACCATAGGTACATGTACCATAAGGCCACACCAATTTAATTTGTTAGTTCTCAGATTCGCCTCTTCTTTTTTTTCTGATTTGAAAAAAAAAAGATTCTGGTTCTGAATCAACTAAAAAATGCTCATATTTTGCACCCAACAGTTGAGGAAAGTCCTTTTCTTCCTAGTTACACACAGTTTTTCAATCCTTTAATGCATTGGGTTTGGTTAAAAGTTAAAAGTTCATTGTTTAAATTTTATCCCAGTCTTTTGTGTTGATTTCATGGCTCCAATTGAAGCATTTGGGGCTATAATAGGATACCCAGGCCTATTTTTATCTTTATTTTTTTTCGTCCAGTCACTTCATATTTTTTCAGAAAAAATCAAAGAACCAACAAATTAAATTGGTGTGGCCTAAAGTCAACTTACTAGGCAGGTTTAGAATTCAAACAATGAATGTTGAACTTTACAACTATTGGGGACAGAATGTAATATACATGACTGTTCATGTATCATAATTAGGCCATACCGTCTTAATTTTATGGATGACATCTGCGCGCGCATTGATTTTCGCCCACCTTGAAAAAAAAAAAGATTGCGTCCACCGAGGCTCTGGCCTGGCTCTAGGCCTGAGTAGTCCATGGTAGTTAGCGACAATACGGAACCGAGCACCCAGGCTATCGATATCGAGTTCGAAGCTCCACGACTCAAGAACTCAGTACATATATACGTACAGTACCGATTAATAAATTCCGCAAAAAGCCACATGTCCCGGCTTGTAGTATACGTCGCTAAGTACTGCCGCGAATTCACAATACCAGCTTTGTATTCCTGTGGTTTAGAAGCATTTTTATTTTTAGCCAGAACTTTTTTTTACTCGCCCGCGCGCTAGTTTGGGGGTCTTCAGAGGATGTCATCCATAAAATTAAATCGGTGTGGCCTTATGGTAAATATAAGGAGTATACAATGTAGATTTTCTCACCTTTTCAGTTTTTTTGTTTACATCTCTTCCAGTGGCCATGTGTATGTGGCCTCTCAGAACTATGTGTGGAAGATGGTTCCAGTCCCCATCACAGCTCAGATCAAACAACTCTTACAGGACAAGCAGTTTGAACTGGCTCTGCATCTGGCAGTACGTACCTGTTAGCTTTCAGGTTTCTATGTGTTAGTCTGCTCAAGGTTTAAGTGATCTACATGACTTTTTGGATTTGTAGATAACTATGTTTTGAGCATCAAAAAAATCTATGATATTCTTAGATAACATCTGTGTCCATAATATCACCAGGGTCCATAATATCGCCACCTTGAGAAACAGTGTGCTTAAAGATATTTTTACTGCAACATACTTTTGGTATGCACTCCTTCACACATCAAATGTACATACCTAGGGTATGTTGCAGTAAAAATATCTTTAAGCACATTATTTCTCAAGGTAGCGATATAACGGACCCTGGTGATATTATGGACACAGATGTTGAATACATGCACTACTGGTGCTACATTATGTTTATACCACATGATAGTTTTTCCTGAAGTCTTTCCAAAAGCAATAGTAGGCATACAAGTTGTTTTTTTTTTACCAAATTTTACTCCTAATCATACACTATCTATTACTTTATTATTGACTAAAATGTTGTTTGGGGTAACTTACCATAGTAAGGCATCTGACAGTAAGGCATCTGACAGTTCAGACACTGAAATGGACTTTGGGTAAGTTTAATTAAGGCCCCACAGAAGTTTAAAAGAAACTGTGACATTACAAATAGGTCTAGAAAGAATTGTTTACAAATGCAAAACCTTTTTAAACTATGACCACAGTCCACAATGCATCAGACTGCACAATGCACAATCAGAACTGTGAGATGGTTTATTACTGCAAACTTACAACAAGTTAAAAGTTAAAACTTTTGATCCAACACAACAAAGTTCTCTTACCCAGTGGAGCTTGTCACGTGGCTTCTTTGAAGTGTGACACATGACAATCAAGCTCCACTGGGTCTGTCTACTGAGGAAGACCAGAGTGACTGGTCGAAAGCTCTAGGTGAACGTTGTGGTGTTGGATCAAAAGTTTTAATATTAACATGTAACCACCAACACAGATGAACTTTATGAAGCAAGGTTAAACTGCAATTTCCAACACAAGAAATTGGACTCACCAAAATTTTCGACTGTACAACTAAAGTCTTTTTGTCAAATTTGTTGTGTTGGAATTTGCAGTTGCTTCATAATGATTTCTACAGATGAACTTTCAAGAACAGATGAACTTTCATTATAGTACAGTATAAGAAACTTACGGTGAGTTTTCCTTTTTCTGTATGAACAAGAACATGACAGATGAAGTGGAGGCTGACAAACAGCAGAACATCCACCACATCCAGAACCTGTATGCCTTCGACCTCTTCTCACAGAGGAGGTTCGACGAGTCCCTCAAGATCTTCTCCAAGCTGGATACAGGTATGGAAGTATTGTCTTGGGTGGCTGAGCTGTGTGTTTTGTGTCTGCTTGCTTCCAGGTACATGTACAGAAGTATTGTTTTTGGGTGGCAAAGCTGTAGGTTTTGTATCCAGGTGTTTGCTTCCAGGTACGGAAATATTGTTTTGGGTGGCTGAGTTGTGTAGTGGTGAGCTGTAGCAAGTTGCATTTTGCTACCGCTTAGGCTACATTTGTATATATAGCTACTTGAAAGGACAAGGGTTCAAAAGAATTTGAACAAGAAGCCATAGGTGACAATCCTCCGTGAAGTTTTATATATTTCAACAAAATCCCAAGCGTCAACGCCAGACCTACTGTGCAGACATTATAATTAGGCACCGGTTAATACAATGAGGGCGCGTCACAAGCATAAAACATACAAAGAGCTAAATCCATTACTGCTCCCAGGGCGTGTAAAGATACTGTGCTTCAAGTTCGAAGTTCATTTTAATTACACACACACAATCATTGCATTCACATAAAGATCGGACTATCATGGTCGTGTCTAGTAACAAAGACAGCCCAACCGTCTTACCATGCCTGTACCTAATTAAGCGCGCCTGGAACAGGCCAGCAACAGTTGCGGTAAGCACCGCGAGTGTTACTACTGCCGGCCAGATAACCAGGATATCTGCTTACAGAACCTCTGCTACCAGACAACTGCCGAAACCTACGGCCTATTCCACAGGATTGTAAAAGTAGGGATGTTTCTAAAATATGCATTTACTTCAATATCAAAACAGCTACGGTAAAAATAAAAAGACGTGCATCATCCCGGACATAATGCCACACCACATGCGAAATTACACAGAAATGCGACGTACGGAAGAATGCGTTTTGGCTGCGAACATCTTCCCAAAAACTTGGCATCTCTTAAGCATGGGCAAAAACATCTGGAACCACTTATAGAAACCACCCCGTATCTGCATGAAGTTCCACCCCCCCCACTGCTATTCCAAACAACGCGTTTTTCTGGACCATTCCAATTCGCCTCGTAATTGTAGGGGTGCGTCTGCAATATTACATTGACCGCGAAAGCAGCAACAGCAAAAATACACATTCGTGCATCAACACGGGCATGCCCGCAGACGGCGTATAAAATTGCGTGCCGATTACACAAAGAGAACCCAGTGTTTTGACTGCGAACATGAAAAATCAGCCGATCACAACACTCCGTCCGGAGGTCCTGACCTCCTTCACGGAGTAAAAATGGAAGTCCCATGTTTGGGAGAGCCACACCCACGCACGTTTAAGAACCCATCGCACATTGAAAACAGTAGGGGTCCTTCCCGCTGTGAGTGGTTAAAACCTAGACTCTGGTCTTACGCAACTTGTACTACTTACATGTACATGTACATGTACAAAACTTGCATGTTACGCCAAAAGGCCGCTTACCGGTTATGCGAATTCGCGAAACAAACACAGTAACCATGACTTGTATGTCAAGAGTGGTTATTTCGAACCCTGAAATACTGTTGTATGTTTCAGACCCAGCCCAGGTGATCGGCCTGTACCCTGACCTCCTGCCCCATGACTTCCGGGCACAGCTGGCCTACCCCTCCAGCCCCCCCGACCTGGCCGGGTCAGAACTGGAGAAGGGACTTCTCGCTCTCATTGACTATCTCACACAGGTATGCACAACTCTGGTAGTTTCTCTTTTAGTTTGTTGTTTCTCTGATTTTTTCAGAAAAAAACTGAAGTGACAGGGCGAAATAAAAAAATTAAAAAATAAAAAACACAGGCCAAGGCACCCCATGAAGGCTGGAAATGTTACGATAAGAGCCATGAGGTCAACATACCAGACTTGTTTATAATTAAAAGAATTGATTTTGAACTTTTAATGAAATGAAGTTGCATTGTTACATTGAAAAACTGTAACAACAAGGAAGAAAAGGACTTTATTCAACCGTTGGGGCCAAAATACATGTATGTCTTTCATTGAGCATGATTCAGAACCTTAAGTCTTTTTTTTTTTTTTGCAAATCAGAAAAAAAATGGACAGGGGGAATTCGAGAAACAACAAATTAAATTGGTGTGGCCTTATCAGAAAAAACTATGAACACAAGATTTTATACTCTGTAAGATGCATTAATATGATTTCTAAACTAAACATGCCTTGTGTTGTGCAATGTACAAACAAATGTAACAGAAATTGTGAAATAGAATCTAGTTCTTGAAAATAACAAGTAATCCTTGTGTATCCATCTAGTTTTTGGCATTTTTACATCATAGTTAGTAGCACAAATTCCATTCACATTTGAACATTATTTTGAACATATTTAAGGTAAAGATATTGTGGCTTTGTATTTAAAATTGCTTTTGAAACTCAGCAGATATGAGTTTTTGTGGTGCTCTATCCTGATGAATTTGTATTTCTCTTCCCATGGTTATAATTTCCATGATTGTGGAACGTTTTTGTAATAATCTCAAAATAACTGTTATTCTTGTAGAAGAGAAATGACCTGATGAAATACATGAGTCAGGAACTGGGCAACCCAACTGCCATTGTGGAAGGTAAGAGGAACAGAAATACATGGGATTTTTGCATGCATTTGTGTGTGTGTGTCTGTGTGTGTGTCTGTCTGTGTGTCTGTGTGTGTGAGTGTCTGTGTGTGTGTGTCTGTGTGTGTGTGTGTGTGTGTCTCTGTGTGTGTGTCTGTGTATGTGTGTGTCTGTGTGTCCGTGTGTGTGTGTCTGTGTGTGTGTCTCTGTGTGTGTGTCTCTGTATGTGTGTGTCTGTGTGTGTGTGTCCGTGTGTGTGTGTGTGTGTGTGTGTGTGTGTGTGTGTGTGTGTGTGTGTGTGTGTGTGTGTGTGTGTGTGTCTGTGATTCTGCTTGGCCCTTAACCCTATCTAGACC